AGAGAGAGAGAGAGAGAGAGAGAGAGAGGGAGAGAAAATCTTTTTAGTGAAGGAAGAAAACTCCAAAACTACAAGCTAAGAGATATACAGTACCTGTTTGACAAATAAAAGTGTAAAATTGTATATGGCACAAATGTATAATAAAGTTCTAAAGAATGGATTTAGAAAAGTGCTGTTATTAATTGACAACCTCCCACTACAACAGAAAACTGAGGAAAGGATATATCTAATTCATATTGCCAATAAATGTACAAATATGATTATCTGTATTCAGGGAAATGAAAATGAAGGAACTATTGAGAAGTTATAACCACTATACTGACAAAAATTAAGAAGAACAATAACACCTATACCTGGGAAGAATGAAATAGAAAAGGTAGAAATATTTTAATCTAGCTATTAAAAATTAAAACATATTTTAAACATCATTCCACTTCTGAGAAGCTATTCAGAAATTTGCATATGGATTGTCTCGTAGTTTTGTTCATTCAGGCAAAAATCTGAAAACAGTTGAATATATTAGGGTTGAAATAATTATAAAAATCATTTAATAGTTGATTGGGAAAGATTCCAAGTGATTTTGCTGAGTGAATAAAAGCAAGATACATACAAGTATGCGATCTTATTTTTTTTAAATGGTAAAATCCTGAGATAGGTATATGATCATATAGATACATATGAAAATGTTAAATGATATAAACTGAGTAATTGTCACATATTATCTAGTAGGTAGGGTATGATGTGGGAAAAGGAATGGAGAAAAGGAGAAGGAGGCTACAGTGAGGGAAAAAAAGACCACATTGAAGCTATCAGTATTTAAATTATTGATCAATTTATAAAAATGTATCTTATACAACTATAATTTTTTCTAGGAAACTAGGAAAAATAGAAAGATATTTACTGACTTGTACACATGCCTATATATACATATATATATATATATACATATATATAGTCAGAAGGCAGTTTTAGATAATGTATATATATTATACATTTGTTTCTGTAGAACATCCAACTCACTTCCTCTATATGTATGCGCAATTAAAGAAAAAGTGATAGAATGCTGCATATTACTGTGATAGCACTGGTTATCTCTGGAGTCCTGATTGAGGTCCAGGGTAGAAATGTGGATAATAACCTTTTTTTTTAAAATACATCTTTGTGTTTTCTTAAAAATCAAGACAAATAAATAAAGCCAAAAGCCCACACAAACCATAGTGAAAAAGCCTGTGTGTGTGTGTGTGTGTGTGTGTGTGTGTTGACTTAGAATATATTAACTAACAACATTCAACTGAATAAAAAATACAAATATTATTTTGTTATTGACAAAAGACTTATGGATCCAGGATCCGATTTAAATTTATATGTTCAATATTCAGACGACAAACAGATTTTTTTTAAAAAAAAAGTTTAACAGGGAAACCATGGCTGCTTTGCTTTTTATCCGTCTATACTTCAACCACAATAGAGATAAAGATGCTTCAAGAAGACAGAATGCTTCAAGGTGCTCCTGTTCTTTTCATGCTAGAATATGGATTTTTAAGCAAACAGATACATAATACCACAGAGATAGAGCATCAAGATTTAAGAAGGGAGTATGGAAAAGGCCTATTCCAATACCTTCACTTTATCTAAAGAAACTAAGACCAAGTTAGCTCTTATTTTATTCTCTCCATGCCTTGAATGATAGAAAAATTATTTTAGAATTTTCTCTCAGAGAAAATGGCATCATTAATATTTCATTAGTTCAATAAACAAAATTCTTACATAAAAATCAAACATCAACTGTTATATTAAGCAAGGGAACCGAGAAATACAGAGACTGATAAGGTGCCTTGTGTAAACCTGAACAGCCACTGATTAATTAATTTATATATCTCTCTTGTTATTCAACCAACACACACTGAACATTTAATCTATACCTGATTTTGTGAGGAGCTGGTGATACAAATATTAATAAGACATAATTCCTGCTTGCCATCTAGTGGGAAAAGGACAAGATATAAAACAGGTCAGACTGGAATATAAACCAAGTTCAGATAGAAGAATTCATTCTGAATGAGGTTTTGGGGATGGTTTTATTGAAGGAAAAGTTGACACTTAAATCAGATCATGTAGGATTTTAAGGCAACAGCAAGAGCAAGAGCACATAAATAGTATGTTCGGCAAGTTTGGGACATGGTCAGAATTGAGTCCAATCCAATTTAAGAACAAGAGAACACTAGAAATTCAAGTGTTCCTGCTTGATGCTAAATGTAAATTCAACTAAAGTGCAAGACACGTGCATGCCTGATACATGGCAAATGCTTAGTAGTGATGTCTTGGTAAATCCTGACCAGTTAAATACTCTCTTGTCCAATTTATTGAATGAACTTGCCATATTACCATGTACCGTCCAGGGTCTAAATCTCCCATCATTCCTTTCAGATGTGTGTTTTCCATTCTGACAGCTTTATATCGCATATCTGAGAACTGAAAGATTAGTGATAAAAGGTAAGTAAAATTCATAATGAAAACACATAATTTTATTCAAATTAATTTTACTTTGAGAATACAAATATTTCCTAGTTGTAATACAGGGAAAGACTCCTTCAGTTTATCGACTGAGTACTCTTACTTATCTTCCCTATCTTTCTCAGGACACACTGTACCCTCCTCTAATGATCAGTATTAAATTTAAAAGATACAATAATGATTCATTTACTTTTTCCTTCCAATTCAAAATCCCATTTTTTCTATTTTTTAATCATATCAAATAATTACCAGAAAAATCATAATTTAAATCCATGCTTGAAATAACACTATCCACTGAATTTCTTCAGCACCTGATTAATTTTTACAATAGGCAACACATGATTTTCATGTTTAATTTTGTCCTTTCTGGTGTTTTTGCCACGTTTCCTTTGTTTATAACTTCTTTATCTGTCTCCTACATTTTTTGTTGGTTTTCCTGATTTCTTCTTAACAGTACTTGGATATAGTATCTGTCCTTTTATTTGCCTAGGGCTCATGTCTATAGAAAAAAAAAACTTGCCTTAAAAAGATGTACTTTTTCAATTATAAAATATAAGCTCACTGACAAAATCCATCAAATATATAAGAATATAAAAGTGAAAGTAAGACTCATTTATAATCCAACTACCCAGATCATTGTTCCCACTGTAAAATATCCTTCCTCAATGAGGTACAAAGGATACTATTACTCTGCCTCTATGGCTTTCCTGTATATTTTACAAATAAGTCACAGCTTAAGGCTCCAGACTGGACAAAGGCTGAATCTTTTTTGTTTCTATAATACACAGGATTTGATAGTCATGCTTTTTGGAAGTAATTCTCATATGCCTAGAAAGTTACTGAAATTTTCCTAATGTTATGTTCTTTGAAAACATCTAGATTTGAGGCAAAGAGGGCTGATAAATCTGTTAATAGCAGGTTACCAATTTGATTCGGAGTAAGAGATCAGGGAATTTAAAAACTAAATAGGAGGGAAGGAAGAAAGGGTGGGCAGACTGGTGGGCACAGAAATTACTTTTGGTATTTTAGTGCTAGACTACAATTGCTATTTCCCCCATGCTCCATGCTGTGCACTGTGTGAATATTCGGTAAATAAGAACTGATTTCATGTTATAGCATCCATATTTTAAAAATACATGAAATGGAGGGTAGGAAACATCCAAGAAAAGCTGGATAAAGTTTTTAAAAAACAATGTTAATGAAAAGAACCCAAGGAAGAAATCTATGATTAGAGCACGTGTGGGAGGTGCTCAGAATACGGGTTACAAGAAAATGTTAGGATGAGATATAATCACATTATCTTGCATTGCCACTTATTTTCTTAGTTCTTTTTCAAAGCACTTTGTGGTATGTCACAAAGGTTTTATGTGACTCCACAAAATGTTGCTGTGACACTACAGGCATTTCTGTGAGTTTAAGTCCCAGAACAAAACCTAGTAATGCAATGATTTTATCAGTCAGTAATGAAAGCTACTGTGAGCATCCACCAAGTGTGCCCTGGAAAGTTGTGTTATTCCTGCTTGCCTACCTGTTGTTTTGCTAACATTTTTTCTTTTATTTCTAATTCTATCTTTAACTGTCTTTCCAGAAGGGCAGCTTTCTTCATCACAGTTGCTATAGTGATCTCCTTCTGATGAAGCTCCTCTGTTAAGTCAGAGATTTCATTTCTCATTCTTTCCTGCTCAGAGTTCTGGTACTCTTCCTCCTGACAGAGATGGCTTCTTATCTGTAGCAGATAAAGACCAGAAACCAAGAACAAATTCTTTTATTTATAAAACAGCTTAAAGCTTTTCGTGGTCATATTCTGTCCGTCTATCCTAAAACTTTGGCAGGTCCTACTCTATCCTCTTTTTCTGATCAGTGTTAAACTAAAAACAGATACTTTATATGATTCATTTATAGTTTCCCTTCCAATTCTAAAATTTAATTTCTCACTTTTATTTTCAATCGTATACAAATCATCACCCACTACGGATACCACTTTGATAACTACTTTGAAAGGTGGATAAAACATTACCAAGCACTTCTTCTGGAGGAAAAATTGCTGAAAAAATTTAAATGACTTATGCTGTACCATTTGGGGCCAAAAACTATGTATTTTAGAAACAATTACAATAAACTTTAAATTTAATGTGTCCATAAACATGCATCACAGCCTCCTCTCCTTAAGCCTGTGGAGTATCTTATACTCTTATTCTTGGCTAAGCTTTTCATGGTAGGGAGCTCTTTGTATCTTGGACTCCTATCCACCTTCATCCTTTCAAACCTACTCAGGCAGCAAAACTGGAGCATTCTGTTTCAACCTTTCCTAAGTCTCTCCTCTGTTCTTCATTCCTATTACTACTATGTTGGTCCAATCTACTGGCATTATTTCCACAAGCCACTCACAATTTCTATTTCTTTTTTTTTTTTTCTTTTCTCTTTTTTCTTTTCGAGACAGGGTCTCACTATGTAGTTGACACTGACCTGGAACTCACTATGTAGCCCAGGCTGGTCTTCAACCCAAAGCAATCCTCCTGCCTCAGCCTCCCAATTGCTGGGATTATAGGCGTGCGCCACCACACCCGGCTCTATTTCTTGATATTCAGAGAAAAAGCATACAATCAGCAATCTCAAAACATCCTAGTCCACTGGGGAAACAGAAAAATATACCAGACAGTATAGTATGGTAACGGTTGTTAGCAGTAGTAGTGGAGAGTATGTAACTCCATCCGGGGATGGATGTATAGATAGGATTTCCCAGGAGAGGTCATGAGACTGAATACTGAAGGGTGACTGGAAGCCAGTCAGAAGCCACAGCATGGAGAAGGGCTCTCAGGCAAGGAATACAGTGAAGATACAAGGGTCAGAGAACAATACACAGTGAAAAAGAAGTGTGGATGGCTGGATCAAGTGTGCTATGAGAAATAAGGCTGAAAAGATTAGGTAGAGGTTATCCATAAAAAGATTTACATAAATTTACTCCAGTGCATTTAGCTTTAAAATGTTTCTTTTTCCCATTTCATCTTTAAATATTTCAGTGTATATCTCTAAAAGAACAAGGGTGCACTTTCCTCTCTTTTATTCACCCTCTTAACATAATCACAATGTCTTAAATAATTAATAATTACTCCACTTTATCAAGTATCTGGGCTGAATTCAGATTTAAAATAGTCTAAAAAATGTAACAAATGTTCTTTATGTTTCATTAATTTAGCTTTAACTATTGTCCATCCAATGAAACTGGCTCATGTATCTTTTTATGTGTTTCTTTGCGTTTATGTGCAACATCTGTTCAGTCCTCACAAACTTTCTAGTTTTCAGATTAAAAAAGATTAAAAAAAATGAAAGTGCATAAGTTTTCACGGTCACATTCATGTGATGGGCAGCCTGATTCCTAGACCTGTGACTCTACCCACTGTGCTCCTAGCCTCTTGTGGCTAGGCTCTGGAAGGTTGCTCATACTTTAGAAAAAGCTGGATTTCAGAGAAAGATACCTAGAGCAAGACGGCCTAACATGGAACACACACATGTGCAGAGGAAAATCTGTACCATCCTCAGAACCACTCACCCTCACCTGATTCTAGTCTTATAAACATTTCAGAATGTAGAAGTCAGACATGACAATCACATCACATGATCTTAACTCTGCCACTTAACAGATGGAAGAAAAAGGAAAAGAAAACTGGGCCTAAAGAAAAAGAAGCAAAAGAAAAGATTAGGCGACTGGAATGCAAGCACCCTAACCCAGAACAATGTTACAAGTCTCCTTTAATTTTCTCTCTCCAGTTTTTTTTCTTGGAATTCATCTGACTAGACAATAGCATTGTTCTGCAGTTTGTCTGGATTTGTTGATTCCTTTCTGTGGTGTGGTTTAATATGTTCCTCTTAAAATGGAACTTGGAAAAAATATATTGTTATAAACTTTTTATTATTTTTATAATGTTTAGCTGTTAAAACAAAAATGCTATATTGCAAAGCTGCTTTCTTAATTTACCTGAGCTTCAAATGACTTTTAGCTCTACTAAAAATGTGAATTTTATAACAAAATAAATGACTAAAAATAGTTCTGTACTGGAAAAGGAGAAAAGAAAATACAAGATTTATAATATATGGCTCTTGTTGGTTTTATTACAAGAGTATGAAAATGCACTCCACAAACGCTTCCTGGAAGCTATAGCTATTTATATACAATTCATTTGTTACCTTTTCTGCACAGCATGGCACTATCGGGTAAATCTCCAAGAGGCTACAAAGAGATTTGTGCCTCACATTCTTTCCTTCTATGTCAAAACTGTGGGAAATCAGTAGATTATTTATATTAAAACTTTTATTACTCTATCAAAATCAGTGAGGTTTAGAAAGGTGTAATATAGGTGGCTTCAGGTAGCTTTAATCAATCCTTTAGCCTAATGCATTTACTGGGGTAATCAGTAAAGAACAGATTTTTAGTTATAGTTTTAAAATCAGTAAAATGAGTTTCATGAGACTGTGTTTGTTATTGAAGTATTCAAAATATAATGGAAATGATCATTAATTTGTATCACCTTTTCTACACTTACTTAACCTGTACTAGTTCTCTGTCAGCCAACTGTCAGACAGGATCCATCTTTCTTATGACTGAATATAGAAATTAGTGGAATAGTTATAATCTTACTATGTGCTCAATAAACGGCTGTTGAATTAAACAAACAACAACTGAATTTATGGGATAATTTAACTTTAATATTAGTTAATTCAGTCTCTAAATCTTTACTTTCATTTACAGTGTGTCAAGTAATGTGTAGGATACTAGATGATAATTCCAAGCCATGTCCAGGTTTGTTTAACTTTTAACTATTATTTAGATTTTACAGCGTTGAATATCCATCTATTCTGATTCTCAAACCTAAAGACCAGACAGTGTAGACAGTAGCTTTCCATGAGGAGATAAATTCATTGAAAGAAAGACATCACTAAACCTTAGTAGAAGAAAATATACTTTCTATAGGAGAGCAGAGAACCACAGGCTCTTTAAGAACAACACCCACATCTTCATCTTGTATTCCTTGCTCCTGGCAGAGTGTTTGGCATTATGTTAGGTGCTCAGTGAAAACTGTGGGTGTAACTGAAAACACTAGCAGCCAATATTTACTAGTTGATTCCTGTGAGCCAGGCCTTGCTCTAAGTATTTTGGATACATTATTTCATAGATTTTAACAGAAGATCAAGTAATGTTGGAGAAGACACTAAACTTTTCAGTGTCTTATTCTCCTCAAATATAAAAAAGGGGTACTATTTAGACTTATAAGATGGTTGTGAGGAATACATGAATTAGGATTTGTTAAATTCTTAGAACACTTCCTGTCACTTGGTAAGAGGAATGTAAGAAGTAGGCATCATTGGCTCATTTATTCCTACTAACAATCTTATGAGATAGGCACAAATCATTGATCCCAAAGAATAAGTTCAAGCCACTTCCCCAAGCTTGTACATGTGGTTGATCACCGAGTCTGTGCCATCAACTTTCTTGCTATATGCCATCTGTCACAGAACCACCGGCCCTGCACATTTCATGGGCAGTGATAACCTGGGGTTGTGTTCATTCACATTGAACAAAGGCAGAATTATTAACTTGATAAATATTTTTAGGAGAAAATATAGAAGGAAAAGGAAGGGAGTGAAAAGGAATATTTTTATACCTGTTTGTATGCAAAGACTTCAGATCTACCTGAAAGAATGGACCTCATTATCTTTCCTACCTTGGGTGATTTTTTTTCTTGATTTGGTTCATCCGGGACTATCAAACATAGCTCTCTCTTTTTCCTTTCTGTTTCTTCAATAGAAGGTGAATAAGATGATTCAAGTCTATAAATTAAAAATAAAATAAGAAGCAAAAATTATGCTTAATTTGATAAATTATTGTGATTATATTGTTAATTTAGACCACTGTAGGCTGCAGAGATAGATCATTACTTTGTTGGAAATATTTTTAGTTGCAAAATTGCAAGTCCTACCTAATACATTCATATCCCATTAAGTATTTATATCTTTGAGTTCAAATGGTTTTAATGGAAAAAAAGGTAGCAATTAATATGGAATTTAAATTATACATTAAAAATTGGTTGATCACTGGTGTTGCATATTCACATAAGATTTTTGGATTAAAAAAAACAGATTGCTTCCTATAAAATAGCTTGGGAACTCATCCTAAAAAATGAAACACACCCAACTTGCAAATGCATTGTAGCAAGTAACTATGACATGAAAAGTCCAAGCGGAACAACTGCTCCATAAAAGTATTCAAAAATGATTAAACCTGACAGTCTAACCAGATAGAGCTCAAGTGCAACTATTCTTTGGCTGTGCATTTATAAAATGGAATTGCAACTACATATTAATAATGGAGAGGAGAAGCAGAAACACTTATGAAAGGACAATTTGTATAATAAGTGTGGGGAAATATAAGGGGCAATGTGCACTTCCATATGAGGCAAATTGGTAAATATAAATATATTATTAAAACACAAAAATAAAGATAGCCACGTGGGCAAAGCAGCATTCTTTCTACTGGAAGTCACACTTTACTATTGTTTTGGAGCCTGGAATTATGAGGACTATGCCTACTTGTAGCTAAGTACAATTTTAGATTTCCAAAGCATTTGTGAAAAGTTTTCACAGATAGAAAATATAAGCTTCACAATAAAACAACAAGCCAAAATCATTAATGATGAAAAAATAATTAGATTGAAAATAAAGAATCTTTCAAAAGATACAAATTTTTTTTTTTTTTTTTTTTTTTTTTTTTTTTTTTTTTTGTACCAGGGATCAAACTCAGGACCTTGCACTTGCGAGGTGGGCGATGGCACCACTGACCTAAATCCCTGGCCTGAAAGATATAAATTGATAATGATATCTTGGAGGTATATGCATCTAGGTCATGTGTAATATATATGTGTTATATATACATATAAATCAAGCACAGATAACAGCATATATCAAATTGTAACACACTGCTATAATGTTATCCAGGAGAAACTGTTAACATTTTTGTGTATATTTTCTTTGTTCTATATATACATAAGTACACACTTCCCTTATAATGGAAATATTCTGTGAATATTATTTTTCAGTCTCCTTTTGTTATCCACTTAATAATATATCATGAGCATTTCCATTTTATCCAATATTCTCCTAATATATTATTTCAGTATTAGTCTTAATTTTTTCTAATTTTCTATGAATTCAAAAAGTGAAAAGTGAAATTCCTTATTTCTCAATTATTCTAAGCAATTTCAGGGAGTACAATGCTGAACTGAATGCTAAAAATCTCATGGCAAACTTGCAAAGTTTGGTGAATGAACAGAAAAAATGTCAAACTCCAATATGGACAAGTGGTAATAAAATAATAACCATGCTAACATAAAATGCTTATGAAATATATATAGGAACTATTATTTGGATATTGAAAAAATATTGGAGTTATTTTTAATAATTCAAATACATAATCCAACATGCTTCTACAACAAATAAAAGAAAAAGCTAAGAAAATTTAGATTATTGAGAAAGTTTCTGAAAGTAAATAAAAACATTACTGTACTACTTGTATAAAACCAGTGTGCATCTACTTTCAGTAATCTGGGCTACCTTTCTTTAATATGGCCAATAAAGAAGAAACAAGAGTCTAAATAAAGGAAACCAAAACAGTGAAGCAAGAGAACAGCAGTCATGTGAGAATAAAGCAAAAAGAATATGAACTTGCAGTAGCAAAGGGAAAGGTAGTGAACTCTAAATACAATGCAATGTGAAAAGGTAAAAACAATACATTTCACGAAGTCTCACTGAGGGATATTTCCAAATAAGAAAGATACAGTTTAGAGACCAAAATAAATACCAAATTAATTAGATGATGGAAAGCAGGCAAACAGAGTTTCTATTGGATAAATATATGAATAAATACAAGACTCTGGATGAGATCATGTATTGAAGGAAAGGTGCACTATCTAGAGTTCCACACTGGCCATGTGCCATAAAAAGTATATGTCACATTCTTCACAAAACCAGAGATAGATACAGGTTGAATGGTGTGTTCTTCTATGAAACATCTTATGTTTTAAGGCATACACATTCTTTTTCTGTGTGTGAAGACATGTCTCACCAATTCAGCACACTGGAACAGCACCTTCCACATAATAAATATTGAATAGATTTACTAATCATCCATGATAGTGATGTATAGCTTGTATATAGAGCACTCAATAATGCTGACTGACTAATAGGCACCCTGCTGTCTTTGGTGAGGCATGCAATAGGTCATTTTAGGAATCTTAATTTACCATTTGTTGTTGAGGACAAATCTGAAAGAAATAGCATGTCCCACAACTTTGAAGAAATAATTATTGCCTTTAAAACAGAAATTATCATTAAATAAAATATCTCTCACCATTTGGCTACCCAATTTTTAAAATCCTGTCACTGATTTGACATTACCTTTTGATTCTAAGAAAGTTCTATATCAATTAACTATGAAAGCAGTTCATAATCATAAACATTTAATAATCCTCAGCAGTCCCATTTTATTTGTGGTCATGGAGTACACAATATCCGTTTGATTTTAAATAGGAAAATAATTTGTTTGAACAAGAACCCTAATGGAATTAACAAGATGGAGAGTAAGGAGGTAAATGAACAACAAACAGGTTCTTTCACCTTTTTTTTTTCTGGTACCGGGGATCAAACTTGTGCCCTTGTGCTTGTGAGGCAGGTGGTGGAACCACTGATCTAAATCCCCAGCCCAACAACAAACAAGTTCAGAGGAAACCAAAATGAAAGCATTTGAGAAATAAAGAATAAACCTTATTTATCTGAAAATATATAATTCTCTATGCTATTGTTTTTATGATAGCCTGAAAAATAAAAGTTCTAGGAAAATTTCTAACTAAGTGTGGCAGTATCCACAAATCAGAACATGATACAAATTTCCACATAATTTTGAAGATAAAAGTAATAATTAATTTTATCTTAGTAATTAATTTTATACACCAATTAATATGTTAATTAAAAATAAACTTTATTCTAGTTTCAAATGTAAAACTCTTAAAATATATAAACATGTTTGAAATAGTTTCAAACTATCAAAAATAAAGACTCTACCTTTTCTTATTTTCTTGAGGATTTTGGAACTCTCCTATTTTTAATAATTCTCTGTGTAACTGCAATCGTTCCATTTCTATAATTCTCAAGAGATCATCACGTGACTGTAGCTCATTTTTCACCTCTGAGAGTCCTGCTTCCATGGCCTGCATAAAATATCAGAGAATGTCATTGCTCATTTTCAACATCATGATATACAGTACATTTGAAGATATTTAGCGTCTGTAAACTAGCCTGTTTTTAAACAAATTGATGTTTAGCCCCTTTCTTGGTCTACCTTATAGAATTTTATCCCTTTATTCATTTATTTAAAAGATATTTACTGAGCTCTTATTACATCATTTGGAAACAGCCACAGAAGTTTAGTAAAGAAAAATCAAATCATATAAGTGTAATCAAATTGTATGTAAATTTGATATTAAATATAAAAACTTGAGTAAAATAAAATCTATAAAATTTGAATTGTTGCAAATACATCCTAATTAAAAAGATAATGATTGAATGAGAAATAATCTAATAGTAAAGCTGGCCAACAATAAATTATAAGTCCTGATTCCATTCTTGCCTAATAGTAGTCATACGTTAGTGAGTAGTTGGAAATATCAGAAATTCCGCGAGTGCAGTGTTTTACATGAGTAGCAGGACAGGCTTGAGAAAGTTCAGAAGCTGCTGCGAAGGGTCCCTTTAGGAAATAAGAGGGGTAATAGCAATGGTGTCGAGTTCCTGAGAAGGTGGGTAGAATGAACTCCCAAGCACAAGGGGAGAAGAGCTTACAGCAAGAGAGTCCCTCTTCTCTTTCAGCAGGAAGGAAGGAGGAAGGAAGGAAGGAAGGTGCAATAGGCAAGCTTCTGCATTTCAATAGGAAGAGAACAAAGGACTGACTACTTCTGGTTTATTTTTCCTTTGTGAAGTAAAAGGTAACATTATGTACTGATGGTGGAAGAGAGGGCGATATCAGGTACGGGAGTGATGTGAAAGTGAAGAAGGTCTGAAATGGCTTATGATGGGAAGAAGATGGCCAACTAGAGAAACAGTATGATTGCTAAGCATGAAATACCATTTCAAGTTCATAAACATGGCCTGGTGAGGGATTTCCTGTAGCAGTATTTGACTGTTCTCTGGGAGAATATACTATGTGGCTTTTGTGATTAACTTGCTTTATTTTGTATAATGCTTTTAAAGTTCATCCATTTTGTAGTACATATCAGTTCATTTCTGCTGTGGCTGAATAATATTTCATTACAGTATATGGGCATACATGTTTTGTTTCTTCATCAGTTGATGGGCATTTGGGTTATTCTATATTTTGCTTATTGAGACTAATGCTCACACTAGGCATGGTGGCATATGCCTATAATTGCAGTACTCTAGGAGGCTGAAGCAGGAAGATCACAAGTTTGAGCTCAGCCTGGGCAATTTAGCAACTTAACAAGATCCTGTATCAAGATAAAAAAAATAAAAAAGAGTTGGAGATGTAGCTCAGTGTGAAGGCTCTGAGTTTAAACTCCAATCCCCCCCCAAAAAAAAAGAGAGAGAGAATAATGGCTGCCATAAAAATTAATGTACAATTCATGCACTTATTAGTTCTTATCCAAAAAATCACAAAGCCTAAAGAATAATTAACTACACAGTATAGAACGCAATGTTATTTTCATAGGTTTTTTTTTTTCTTTTTTTCTTTTTTTAAAGAAAGCCTTAAATTTGTACTGTTTCCAAGAGCCTGGGAGTCCTGGTCTGAGTGAAGGGTCTAATGGAAATATTTTAGCCTTAGAAGTTCCTGGAATTCCAGAAGTACTTAGAATTAAGTATAAAAACATTCAAAATGGTGATTTTTATGGGACTTATACAGATAAAAAGTATCTGTTTTGAACAGTGGAAACTTTTTGGAAGGGGAGAAAGTTTTAAAAATGAAGAAGGATGTGAAATGATTAAAATGTAGAAAGCAACTTAATTTGATGTGAACATCACCCATCATTTTGCCCAATTGATGGTCCAATCTAGGCTCCTTGCTTTGCAAATATGCCACCAGGAAAAGTGAACATCAGATGTAAATCTGCCTATAGAAAAGTAGACATGCCTTTGCTTGGGGAAAAGAGGTGCATAAAAGAGTCTAAATCAAGCCATTGAAATATAGTGTTTTCATGGGCTAGAGTTAACTGAAATTCCAAAATGTAATAAACATAGTTTACTTGTTTATCATTACACTTAATCTTAGCCAAATGGTGGAGAAACAATACTTGTTTGTTGTTATTAGAAAATATTATCTGAGGGACATTTGAAAATATCAAAGGGGAAAAGAAGTGACTGAGTTGCACAGGCAATAGAATATATATATTAAAATTGAGACTTTTCATAATACAAAATAATACTGATTTAACATGTAAATGAATATGTAAAAGATTTTAATTATAATTGACAGTATTTGTAAATTGTCTACAAAAGTATAAAAAATGTGAAGGATTTGTTGATACTGATAAATTTGGAACTGTTTTACTTTGAATTCAGTATTACTAATACTAAGTTGACAAAAGAATTAATGAATTTTAAAAACTGATGTGTAGTTTTGAAATTGGTATGATTTTTGTATGACAGTCAAATCAGTTACTTGTCGATGTGTCAAATATTCAGGAGAAGGATTCTCTGGTACTTGACTCAGTTATTCACTTACAAGTTTGTTTAGAATGACTTAAGAAAATTCTAACTGTAAACTTCTATGAAACTAACTAGTGATTAGTATTTTCAATTAATACTTATATTCAAATTTAGATACATTTTAAATGTAAGCATACACCAGATTTTGAAAACTCTGTGTGGAAGAAATGTAAAACATTTTATATATTGATCGCATACTGAAGTATTATGGGTATATAGCAAGTTGAATTAAATATATTACTACATTTTACTCATTTCTCTTCTTTTAATGAAGCTATTAGAAAAATTTAAATTACATTTGTAGCTTACAAACTACTGTAATTGGATACTGTTGCTCTACTACCTTCAACAAGGAAACAAAAAACAGTTAACTTTTCTGAAATAGATATTTGAAAAATGCAGAACAATTTATTTTTGTCATTAACCTCCAATAGGAAATTCTGTACATTAAAAAAAATGTGAGTGTAGTGTAGCATAGTAAATACATGTATGCAATAGAATTAATATGTATACTGACACATTTCTAGGTTGTAGAAAGACAAATGAGAAAATGTAATTCATATGAAAATTCAGATGCATCTGGCATTAAAATGTGTTGCAAACTAAAGAGAAGTTTGTATATAATAAATGATAGCAATTCAAATTGAAATGGTTGTCTTTTGCATTTCTTTGCAGGATGTAGAATATTCTGTCATATAATAGCTTTGCAAATAGGAGAAGATAAATTTCTAATTCATATTCTGATTACAATATAATTTACTGCTAAATTTTCCCACTTGGTAAAATATAAATTTTATAAGAGAAGTTTAAGGCCATCTGTTTAATTAGAAATTTGCCCAATAATTTGAAAGGAGATGTACTTTTAAGCATTCAAATTAACTAACAAATATAAATATTTGATATCTTCTTACTGGTATTTTCTAAAGAAAAAAGATAAAACATGACTAACATTTGGAAGTAAAACAGGGAAGATGGTAAAAAGAGAATATGAAAACAAAGTCTTTGTAAATAGGGAAGGGTGAAGGGTCTGAAGGGACAGCAGGGGTATGGAGAAAACGTAAGAAACAAGACATACCATGCAAAGGTACAGGATCCCAATGATAAATGTAACTGTTATCATTTGCTTTAAATGTACCAATAAACTTAATGGTGGAAAAAAAGAGAGAGAATATTTTCAGTCTTGTTTCCACATAGATAAACTACATTTAATATTTTCTTAGGTGTAAAAATCTTATCTTTTAGAAATTTGATTTTTTAAAACCAAATTAATTTTCAAAAATCTTTTTCTTAGGACTATTATTATTAATTTTTGGCATGAAATGCATTTCAGAGTAATTTGGTTTGTGCTTAATATGTGCAACTGTTTTGAAAAATATAAAATGGAGATTCTTTGTTTAAATTTAAATTGATAGTGTTCCTAAATCTAAGCACAAATTAGTTTTAACTGATCAAAGTTTTTTAAAAATACAATTTTGATAAGCTTCCTCATATTAATCAATGTAAATACCTGTCACATTACATTTTATCATTACCTATAGAAAACATATAGTGTGAGAATTACTGGTAAAGAATATAACAAAAATAATCTATTTTCAAAATTTACAGAAAAATTTATCAATCTCAGCATGACTGACATTTGTGCTGTGGAACTGTGTGGGGGTGTCCTGGCATTCTAAGACAGCCAAAGGCACTGTAAGATATCTCATATCATCTCTGGCCTCTATCTACTACATGCTGATAGCCCTCTTCCCCTTGTTGTGACAACCAAAAATATATCCGGGCACAGCCAAATGTCACTTGGGAGGCAAAATTATCACAGCATAGAGTCAGTGCTTTAAAGGAAGCCAACAATTAGGCAGATAATGCATATCTTACAGAATTAGAAAAAAATATCCTAAAATTCATTTGAAACCAGAATGGTACTGGAAAAAAAAAAAAAGACCCTAAAGATCCATGGAACGGATTAGAAGATGCAGAAATAACTCCAGACATATTTAGCCCCTTTATCTTTGACAAAGGAGCCGAATACCTCCACTGGAAGAAAGATAGCCTATTTAATAAATGGTGCTGGAAAAACTGGCTTTCCATATGTTGAAAATTGAAACTAGACCTGAATCTTTCACCAAGCACTAACCTAAAATCGAAATGGATCAAAGATGTAAATATTAAAATAGAAACACTAAACCTGCTGGAAGAGAGAATAGGAAGACCGCTTCAGGACATAGCAGTAGGCAAAGACTTCATGAACAAAACCCAGACCACACAGGAAATATAAAGAATCAATAACTGGTCTCTCATCTTATTAAAAAGCTTTTGAACAGCAAGAGAATTACCAACAGAGTAAAGAGACAACCCATAGTGTGGGAAAAAATTTTGCCAGTTATTCACTAGACAAAGGACTACTACTTAGAATAGAGAACCAAAAAAAAATCAGACCCCTAAATTTAAAGACCCAATCCAAAAATGGACATCTGAAGTGAACAGACATTCTCAGGGGAAGAAGTAGATATAGTTGATAAATATATGAAAAAATGTTCAACACCACTGGTCCTTTGAGAAATGCAAATTAAAACAAAGCTGAGATTCCATCTCAGTCCAGGAAGACTGGCTGTTACCAAGAAATCAACCAACAAATTCTGGAGGGGCTGTGCAGGAAAAGAAACCTTTCTTCACTGTTGGAAGTGTAAACTCGTGCAACTCCTGTGGAAATCAGTATGGAGATTTCTCAAAAAAATGAACCCAGCGGTTCCATTTGACCCAGATATTCCTCTTCTGGGTATCTTCCCTAAAGAATAAAAAGCATCACACCACAGCCATCTAGGCACACCCATGTTTAGAGCAGCTCAATTTATAATAACTAAATCTTGGAGACAGCCCAAATGTCCATCAACCAACAAATGGTTAAAGAAGATGTGGTTTTATTATATGATGAAGTACTACTCTGCCATAAAGAAGGATGAGCTTCAGCCATTTATAGCCAAATGGTTATATTGGGCACACATGTTTAAATATTGCATTGTTTCTCTGGTGTGAGAAACCAGAAGTGGAAATAAAGACTAAAATTTATAACAGTTATTGGGAAATGGGAAGAAAATGTTCAAAAGGGAAGGGGAACAAGGGAAGAAGAATGGAGAAAGAAAGGGAGGGACAAGAAAACAGAAGGAAGAAGTGGTGACAAAACTTTTATACATAGGGAAGGGAGGGGGCTGGAGGGGAGGAGGTAATGGGAAAAGAGGCAGGGTGGATCATGTGCAGGTGCAAATTCCCTACAATGAGTGTTATTATTATGTATGGCTAAAATAAACCAATAAATGTTTTGCTATAAAAAAAATAAATACATTCTCCAGGCTGGCCTAGAACTTGAAAAAAAAAAAGAAAAAAGAATAGGGTGACTGTGGCCAGCAGCAGCTGGTTCATGTTCTCTGGCTTCCTGTACACCTCCAAACTCCCAGGTTGCCGGCAGACTTGAGAGCTGGGCTTGCTAATGAATTATGTTTCAGGCAAACTAAACTGAACAGATAAAGATAGGCCTGTGCAGAGAATAGATATGTAGGGACCATAGCCAAAGAGGCCTCAAAAAATGACAAAGCAGAGTATTCAAAGCCTGTGCAGGACAAACTGAAGCCCAGGGATGAATATTTGGTAAGTATCTAGAAAAATAGTCTCCTTATTCATCAAATGTGATCCTGGTATAGTCTATAGCACTACAAACACAGTTGTAAAATGCAAGTTTAAATTGTTCTTAAACAAAAGGCATGAATGACCAAGTTGCCCCATACCCGGGGAAAGGGAAAGGAGCGCAGAACAGCCACTATGAGAGGTGGGGGAAAGAAGAGAGAGAAAGAGAGAGAGAGAGAGAGACTGTCCATTGGAATGGGCAGTCATGCAAGCCACTCAAATAGGGCAGGGTGGGGTTGAGGAACAAGCTAAACATTGGGAGCCTTAAAACAGACGAGTAAGGACTAATTTAATTTAAATTTTCATAGAGCCAGAGAAAATACCATCACTATCTTTTCTATTTTTAGAAAATTTCTTGCTTCTTGCTTCAGTTTTTTAGCATTTGAAGTTTAGGTTGGTTGGTTTGTTTATGCATACGTTTTTATTCTAATTTGTATTAGAAAAATAACTCCCTCCTCAAACAAAGCTAGAATTTTAGATAGGGAGATGTACATCTCTTATACCACTGAATGCTTCTCAAAAAAGAATTAAAATATTCTATGTACATGTACCATCTCCCCACAATATATGTAACCATTATGTACTACAAGCATGTTCTAAGAAAAAAAGAAAAAAAAAGAACTCAGTCCCTCTCTGTCTCTCTGCTTCTGTGTCTCTGTCACAAACACACACACACACACACATACACACACACACACACAAATGAATGAGAGAAGCTGGGAAACTAGTGTGGAAAGAGGAATACAGGAGAAAAGAGCAGATGCTGGCACAGCATCCACAGAGTTCCCAAGGAGTTGGTTATTTGTGAATAAGAGATACACATTTAGCAAGAAATCAGTGATGACTAGTTATGAGGAATGCTATATAACCTCCCTAAAAACTACAAGATGTACAAAGACAAAAACAAAAACAAAAAAAGAAAATAGATCCTTGGGTTAAGAAAAAATACTTGGATAAACTATAAATCATACCTGCCAATGTGAAATGCACCTAAAAATAGCTAATATTTGCTAAAGGATTATAATAAAGTGCTATGGCTTTGATGTTGAATGTTCTCTAAAAGTCCTTGAGTTAAAGGCTTGGTCTCCAGGGTGGCTATGGGAAAGAAGTTTAACCTTTGGAGGTGGGGTCTAGAGGGAGATCATTGGGTCACTTGACACATGTTCTTCCTGACACCTTTTTCATTCTCTCTCTTTTTACTTCCTGATCATGAAGTGAGTGAGTCTGCTCCACCACGTATGCCTGACATGCTGTTCTGCCTCACAACAAGCCCAAAATAACAAGGCCAAACCAACTGTACACAGACTCAGAACTATGAGTCAAATAAACCATTTCTCTTTATAGTTTTCTTATCCACAGTATTTTGTTAAGGTGAGAGAAAGACAATATATCAGGTTACCAATCATAAATCACAAGCCTCATGGTAAGCTTAGTAGACTGTTTATCCTTTTAGGAATTCCTGTATCTCTAACCTAAGATTCCTGTGAGTCAAAGAGACATAGTATCAGGGAAAATAGGAGGGACAGATGACAGTGTGTGGCCAGAGGTCAATGGATTTGTGATTACTGTTATAACACTGAATACATTACTATTATCCCATTGCAGAACCAAATTGTGTGGTAAAGTACCTGCAGGATGACTGAATTTTCTCATCAAGTAGGAATTACACCCTTAGGAAATATCAGTTGAATTTATACATGTAATAGAAAATTAGCTTTCTAATCTCTTTACCTGTTGAGTCAACATAAATACAACTTATAAAGAAGTATTAGTTTAAAAATAAAAAGATAAATCTTTACCTGGCACTGTCTTTGGTACATTTTCAGTTCTTGTAAAAGCTTCTGATTTTCATCTTGTAACTTATTCCTGCTTAATGCTATTTCACTCACAGCCAATTTTAATTTTTCAATAATGAATTCATCTCTTTCACTGGTTTCACAACCGGGATCTGATTGACATATCAAACTAGGAATTTCAGAGCTGCTGTCTTCAATGCACTGTTTTTTACCATTTAGTTGAGTTTCATAATTTTGTGTCTGTTTCTGGGGAATATGAAAACTGAGTAATTAAGTGAACAATAACACAGTTAAGCTTACATAAAGTTAAGAAAAGAATAAAATCTTTGAATATGTTACTAAATAATGAAGCTTGTCTTGTACAATGCAGTATTAGGTCTATTCTAAAATATCAACTTCAGTAGTATAAAGAGAAAATACATTTGTATAACTTCAAAGCAAAGTTATATATGGAAGAGAGCTAAAGGTAGAGTAGTCTTATTAAGAAAAAAATCTAGAAGCTATACAAAGAGAAAATTATTAATTAAATTACACAATACTCTCTATGACCAAAAACAAATAAAATAAAACCAAACCTTGGCTTGTTAAAAAAATGTTGTCAACCCCATGTAAGAAGGTTTAATAATTCCTATTGTATAAAATTTGTACACATTAATAAGACAACACAAAAAAGTAAGCAAAGTAGTAATAGGCAACTCCCAGAAAAGAAAATGAAAACATCCACAAAATACATGAAGAGATGCTCAGCCTTAGATGTAGGGAAATGTAAAGCAAATCAAGCAATTATAGACTCTCTTGACTGCCTGCTTATAGGCACACAAAAACATGGATCATTTGAACAATGGAATTTTAAAATAGTACCATCCTTTCAGACATGTAGATTAAATTCATCATTATGTATATTTCATGTACTTGTGACTGCACTCACCACTGGATTGCCTATGGTTATTTTTCCTTAATTTACATTTCTATTTGTAAATGGATTACACACTGAATGGCAAGGATACCAATATTTAGCCTCAGTTTCTTCTAAGAGGATAGTATTACATAATTTACCTGAAATTGATTATACTTTTCAGATAATAATTTTTGTTGCGCATCTAAAGAAACCAGATGAGTCTGATACAGTATCTCTTGCTTGTCCCATTCTCTTGACTTTGATCTAAATCCCTTTAAAAATGGGAGGGGGGAAAACATAAATTGAAGTATATTATTCATTTAAAGCATAATGAATAAAATTATGCTTTAAAATTTAAAATAAAATTCATTTAAAGCTTCCTTCATTTGTATCTCTTTATTTTGAGAAAAATAATTAAATCTGTTTTTTTACATATTGGGAAAATCCAAACCAAGAAAAGAATCAAATCACTGTGTAGGATTTATTACTACAGGTTGAATACACCCTATCCAAACTGCTTGGCACCAGAAACGTTTCAGATTTTAGATTCTGGAATATCTATATACACACATAATAAGATAACGTGGGGGTAGGAACAAACTACAAACAAAAGATTCATTTATGTTTTATATATACTCTATACATATAGCCCAAAGGTACTTTTATGTAGTAGTTTTAGTGTGCCTGTGATTCATCTTATGAGATCAGGTATGGAACTCTCCATTCGTGGCATCATGTCAGTGCTCAAAAAATACTGGATCTTAGAGAATTGGGGATATCAAATTTTCAGATCAGGTATGCTCAACCCGTACCTTTCAATTTTTTGTAGGGAAATATAAAATGTTTAATATTAAATTAAACATTTTCTTTACTAAAATACAACTTACAAATCTAAGTCTCTGATAACAAATGGTGATGATTAATAAGGTAGTTTCAAACAACTTCTGCTTTAACTAGTACTTTATTTCCTGACATAAGACATTTTTTCTTTTCTTTCATTTCCTCCACTCAAGTCGGTGAATGAATTTCCTTGTTATTTAAGAGGTCAGGGTTTAGACTTATTTAGTGACTGCTATGGACTGAATGTTTGTATCTTCTCCCAAATCCACATCTGGAAGCCTAATACTGAATGTGATGGGATGGGAGTGTGTTGGGGAGGTAATTAGGTTATGATGCTGGAGCCCACTCTTGTAATAAGAGATATGAAATAGCTTTCTTTCTTGCTATAACAGGATATAAACAGCAGACAGGCATCTGTGTACCAGGAGGAGGGGCCTTCAACAGTATCTGACCATCATGGTGCTTTGATCTTGGGCTTCCAGCTTTCAGGATTGTGAGAAATAGATGTCTGGTGTTCAAGACACCCAGTGTATGGTATTCTCTTATAGCACCCTGAACTAATACTAAAGTCCCTTGCAGCTTTCAAAGCTATTGTCTGATTTGAAGCCAAAATCATCACTCTTGATAACAGCAAACACATCTCTGATTTCATTTAGAAAATACTAATAAGGCTACATGCGGAAGAAAAAAGATGGAACTGGTCGATAGAGTATGCTTAGTTCTTGAAGTTTCTGTTCAAGTAATGTAGTCATGGAACATGATTATCTGTTCACAATTTAATAATGTGAGCAGAGGTATGGATTTGGAGGTGTCAAAGAAAACACGCCCTGGGATGGCTATTACATTTATCTCTCTGTCCAGGCTGTAAGCAACTTAATGTTAAGCATTGTGTATTTTATTATTTTTCTATTGCTCACAGTGGCGACAAAAGGCCAGGTATAATTTATAAACAAAAGCATGGTGTTAACATTCCCTAAAATGTAGAAATTTCTCACTAAATTTTGCAAAGAAAACAACATGGTTTGAAACAAACTCTACAACTACTAAATTCATGGCTACATTATTGTGTGTATGCATATATATGGAGGGGAGATGGAATATGATTAACTTATTCTCCAGGTTATGTGGAGAGAAGAAAAACTGGAACTACTGTATGGTTAAAATTTGCTTTGAAAGAAAAAGGCAAGAAATATATGATAAAATAGAGAAATGTACATGTAAGGTACCAATTTATAGTATGATAGGTATAGTAATTTTGTCACATAAAAGCCACACAGATATCTTCCCTAATATGTTAATTTGGAACACAGTTCATTTGGCCAGAGTGATCTGCACTGTTTTAAAGATGGCTAAAATGATTGGATTGGCTATGTTAGAAAATAAACTTGCTGTTTTAGAGGGTGAAAATTGTATCTTGCTTAAAATGGGGAAGAACATGGCATTTCATATTTTCCATAGAGAAATGGCTTTAAAGAACATTTAGTAAAAATTCCATTTTATAAATCCACAGTCCAAAAACAATCAATGAAGAAAATCTATAACTTAGAAAGCTTTTATAGAAATTCAATGTTACCTAAAATTGTGTGATGAGAAATTTAGATAGATACCCTCTCTTCTAAATACATATGAATACCTTATGATAGACTATATTTAATAGGGTAAATGAAGATAGTTTATTTAAAGCTATTGGCTCTGATTCTGACACAAAACAATATGAAAATTAAGTACAGGAAACCAGACTTTTACTATTTGTAACAAATTTACAAAACCAGGCTGTAGTAAAAAACAGGTAGCACTTCTAAATCAATACAGTTTAGGGTTTAAAAAAAATTGTTGGCTTTTAATTTAAAAAGATGTCTTTGGAGTCAAAATTTGAGCCAGGCTGACTTAAACAGTAAATATCTTTTAAAAAATACAAATACTTAGCATCATCTTTCTAGCACAAATGAATATTTTGTAGCATGAATTGGGGGAGGCAGGAGCATTAACCTTAATTTCTTACTAATATTACAAAAGGGAGAAATGAGGCCAAGAATGGCTAGAAAAGTGTGCAATAGACATATCAGCAGGTACTTAAAACAGTCTTGGCTTTCTTGGTCAAATACAAAGACTGGTTTCAAGATTAGTCAATCAGCACAGTATATGTACTCATATGGCATCATGCAGAAAACAAAGAAAATTCTAAGTATTGTTGTAAAGACTGGAACTGTCTGCCTAGGCTTTAAGGCTTCTGTAGACTTGCCTAGATCTCCATCCAGAGTTAAGTTCTCCAAGGCTGGAAGTTCTTTCCTGGGTCTTTACAGTCAAAGTTAGAGGTAGTCACTGTCATTAAAATTAGAGTTTCTAGTAGTAGCTATGTTCTTAGATTATTTTTAAGAAAACCTTCAACTAAACATTTGGAGATGGTCTTTAGTGATTACTATATGACAGGGACTTGACGAACTGCCATGTATAAGATGGTTTCAACTTTCTATTAGGAAAAATTTCATACTTACATGAAAGTAGAGAATAAAGGAAACTTTCACATACTCTTCACCTAGCTTAACCAGCATCAACTTGGTCTACCTTTATTTCTCCAAACTCTCCACCCTTTTTGTTGAAGCATTTAAAAGCAATTTCTTGACCTTATGCATTTTCACCCTTGAATTCTTTACTGTGCATTTCCCCATAGCCATAACGTCACCTATCAGATATTTTAAAACACCACTAACTAATGGAAAAATGGAATCTCTGTGAAGCTAGCAACATGTCCGAAGGTCACAGAGCAAATAAATGAGTTATCGGGGTACGTTTTACATTATAAATGGAAAGCTTTGTTGTTGTTGCAACAGTTTATACGTATGTGGGTTTCCCCCAAAAGCATCCAAAAGGCCAGCCAAATGGATGATCAGTGACTTGATCTCCATTTTAAGTGAAAGAACATGTGTTTTACACAGCACATCTTTGGACATCCTCTATGAGACCATGATACTTATTTTTTCTTTTTGGTACCAGGGATTGCACTCGGGTCCTTGTGCTTGCAAGGCAGGCCACCGAACCACTGAGCTAAACCCCCAGTGAGACCATGATACTTTTAAAGCCAATCTGGAATTTCTGAGCCAGTGAGAACCAAGAAATCAGTGCTACTGTGCATTCTCTGAGGGGGCCAACACGCTGATAGTAGTTTTGTATTTGAAGAACTGTATATATTATCCAATAAGATATAAAATTTGCAGAGCTTTTAAAGAACAAAATCCACAACTTCCTACAAAGTTCTTGCAACAGGCTAGTTTTATTAAAGATATTTTGGAGCAGAGAATTGTTAATTGAGGAGAAAAATGTATGAAATAGAGCAGTGACAACTAGTTAGGAGGAATGGCAAAGGGGCAGATTTGCTGAAATATGAAGAGTAAGAGAAAGGCACAGATCAGAGATTTTAAAAAAGGTATCTAGACTTGATGACTGGGAGGTGAAGAACCATTATCAATCAATGCATAAAAGAAAAAGATCATTAGCTAGGAGTAGGGATGCTGGGATTTTTGACATGAGAGGAATGAAAGAAATTGAGTAGGATAATATAAAGGTGAGTCAATTAAAAATAATAATTGGGCAGCACTGGGAACCCAGCTAAGGTTAGATGATAAGAATTTACAGTAGAGCTCAGGATTTAGCTCAGTGGTGCCATCGCCTAACTCACAAGAGCAAAGTTCCAAGTTCAATCCCCGGTACCCGCCCCCCAAAAAAATTCCAGGACAATCTATTCGCTATTATGTGACTTACAGCAAGGATGCTCAAGAGTGTAGGGAAGAACAATAGCTGGTTTGTGTTTCCTAAAGTTGGAAAATTAAAAGGATAAAAGTAAGTAAATCTGTGACATTGTGCATCTACAGACTGAGATTTAGAAGTTCTGGGTGATACGGGGTGATCAAAATTGGAGCTGTGCTATAGCTTTAAAGAAAAAAACCCTAAAACTTTAAGCCTTGCACTGAAAACTATTTTGAGGCTTCATTTGGATTTAAGTACCTAACAGTTAAAAGGCCATTAAAAGATTTATTAGATATTCCCTTTAACTGACCCCAAGGGTGTCCTTCAATTTCACTCAACAGCTGCAGTTTCTTTGAATGTTTTTTTTTCCCAAAATGCTGATAGATATAAAAGATGTATAAATCAAAGTGATGTTTTAATTTACTAAGTGCTTGAAGGGAAGGTACACTAAGAAAATACATTCAATGAAAGGTTGATTTGTTTTTACCACAGCTGTACACACCACTGTGTATTCTAGAATGATAAAAATCAATCTTTGATGCACACAAAGAAACTAAGAAAATATATCTTACCTCTAATTTCTGGTTCAAATTGCTCAGTTCAAAGGGTATTTCTTCTTTGTGAAACAATTCTTTTCGGTGAATTTTGTTTTGTTTCACTTGATGTAATCTCAGTTTTTCAAAGCTGTTTGTTAGTTGGGAAAACTGTAAATAAAAAATACTAACATTTTACTATTAACAGTTACTTTTAGGTTGATTTCACAATATTTCTTTCTTTGTGTACCTCTCTGAAAATTTAAGTCATGATTAGAAAGTGCAGTAAAGCTTAAATGTTTCAATTAGTGAAGGTAGAACGAGTTATTAAAACTAAATTATTGAAGCTGAACACGAATTGGGTTTCATATAAATTTGGGACTTAACTGCACAGTTAAACAATGATTCACTTGATAAATGTTTTGTTCAGTTTTGTTTTTTAACTGAATGTTAGCAAAGCTCATAATTAAAAAAAGTTTTTTTCTTACTTTTATTTAGTGCCATCTTGTGTTGACAATTTCAATTTCAGTAACTCAATCTATAAAACAACCAGTTTATATTGTCCAAGAAAACTGAATATTTAATTTAAAAGATAGTATTTACTATAAATATCAGAGTGTACCAACATCCTCAAGAAAATTTCTATGTATCTTTTTTCAAGTGTTTCTGCTTATAATTTTAATGTTGAAAAAATTAAAGTTACAGAGTTATTATAGAGAGATTCTGAGTTTCTCCACTACTTACTTCTTATTGAACTATAGCATAAGTATAACTTATTGATTTAGAGCTGGGCATGGTTGTGCACACCTGTAATCCCAGCAGTCGGGAGGCTGAGACAGGAGGATTGCTGTGAGTTCGAGACCAGCCTGGGCTACAGAGTAAGTCCCAGGTCATTCTCAACTACATGGTGAGACCCTGTCTCAAAAAACCAACAACAGCAATAAAAACACTCATTGACTTAGTATGATATTAAAGCAAGGAAGAAGATATTGATCCAATATATGTGTATAGTTCTATGCCCTTTCCTCACATATGTAAATCTGAGTGACCACAGCCACAATTGAGATACAGACCTCGGAGCTGGGGATACAGATTAGTGGTAGAACTTGTTCTTAGCCCATAGCACTCTGGGTTTGATCCCAAAACAACAACCACAAAAAAGATACAGAACTACCTTCCTTAATACTACCTCTTAAGGTCCCATCATGACCCCAACCTTCCTACCTCTACCCCCCGAAAACTACTAATTTGTTTTCTATCTCTATAATTTTGAAGTTTGAGAAAATTATGAAATGGAATCATGCAATAGATGATCATTTGAAATTGAATTTTCTTATTTTACTTAATATACTTAAAATCCTATGGTTAATTACTTTTTAGTGCTGAATAACATTTCATGCCATGAATGTATCACAGTTGTGTGAGTATTCCCATATTAAAGCATTTTTAATGTTTCCAGTTTGGGGCTATTACAAATAAAGCTATAATTCTTGTCTACATTATCTCATTTGAAGTAGCCAGTTCTGCTTTCCCTTTGTTCTCATATAATTTCTTCTGAGGTATAATCACCAATTATAAAATCACCTGAATAAAGTTCTACCACATGGATATATCACACGATATCATTCATCAATTGATGGACAATTGAATCACTTTTGGATATTATGAGTATGCTACTATGAAAATTTGTATTCAAATTTTTGTGTGAATATATGTTTTCATTTCCCTTGGGAGTATATCTAGGAGTAGAACTGTTTCATGATATAGTAGCTCTAAGTTTAACTTTTTAACAGATACTTTTGGGGGAGGGTATCAGGGATCAAACTCAGGACCCTGCACTTGCCAGGCAGGCATGGCACCACTGAACTGAATACCCAGCTAAATTTAATTTTTTTGAGGAACAATTTTCCAAACTGTCTGCCTCATTTTCCATTCATACTAAAAATGTTCAGGGTTCCATATCCTCACTAACACTTGTCGCTGTCCATCCTTTTGATTATAGCCATCCTAGGTGTATGAGAGGTATCTCATTGTGGTTCTGACTTGGATTTCTCTAAGGACAATGTTAAGCATTTCATGTACTTATCAACCATTTGTAAATCTTCTTTGGATAAATGTTTCTTCAAATCTTTATCTATTTTAACATTTGGTCATTTGTCCCTATTGTTGACCAGTGCCATGGTTTGGATATGTTCTCTGTTTCCCCCCTACACCAAATGTTCATGTGCTAGAAGATTGGTCTTAAATATGGTGGTGTTGAGAGGTAGAACCTTTAAGAAGTGAGACCTCGTGAATGTGAATAGTAATTAGGTCCCTGTTCTTTTTTAATATTTTTTATTTTTTAAAATTAATTTTATTAGTACATTTAATATATACAATATGACATTCATGGTTGGAAATTTGTACCTTTACATAATCAGCTTTGGTTCTTATTTTTTCCCCATTCCCCTGCCTCCCTTCAACCCCTCCCTCCCTCCCTATCTACAAAGACTGTTTCTATTTGGGTCCCTGTACTTGTAAGGGATTAATGCAGTGCTTGTGGGCTCCTGGTTTGTTCTGAGAGGAAGCATTATAAAAAGATCAAGGCTGGCTCCTGAGTGTTTCTGCATCCCTGTCTTGGTATGTTAGCTCTCACACACTCAGTCTCGTGATGCCAGCCCCACACTGCTCCTCAGCCATGGGGCCTCTTCCTTGAAGCAAACAAAGAAGCCATGAGGTTGCCTGACCTTAGACTTTCAGCCACCAAAACTGTGAGATCCATAAACCTCTTTATTTATAAAACACCTCACCTCAGGTATTTTGCTACAGCAACAGAAAATTAAAACAACTAAGGGTGATTTTTATACTTTATATAATTCACAAATATTGTCTACCACTTTGTGGGCTGTCCTTTAACTTTATTGATGGTGCTCTTTGAAATATAAAAAAATTAAAATCCAATGCAGTCAAACTTCTCTAACTGTTGTGTTGCTTGTACTGGTGGCATATCTAAGAAACCATGAGTAAACCAAGGTTCCAAATGTTTACTCCTGTATTTCCTTCTAAGAAATTTATCGATTACAGTTAGATATTTGATTTTGAGTTAATTTTTGTCTGTGGTTTAAGGTATTTTGATTATTTTTTGCATGTGGCTATCAGATTGTCCCCACATATTTATTGAAAAGACTAATCTTTTTCCATTGAATTACCTTGGCAACATTGCTGTTTTATTTTTAATATTTGCATGGTATATTTTTAAAATCATTTTACTATAGTTATATTTAAAGGGAATTTCTGGGAATAGAAGATGGAGTTGGGTCACATTATTTACTGTACCAGTCTCTTAAACCTGACTTTTTTTTTTCTGGTTTTGTTTGTTTTAACTTTTGTGTGTTCCTGTAGGTTAATTAACATTTTTCAAAATCCATTTTGACTTCTCTAGTGATTTGAGTATATCTTTTGTTTAACTTTTTGAGTGGTTGCTGCAGGTATTGAATTATACTTCCAAAACTTACCCCAGGCTAGTGTTGCATTTTGCCAGTTCAAGTATATTCTTTTACTTTGCCCCATCTATAACAACTGTCTTAAACATTTTCTCGACATACACTGAGAACCACATTACACACTTGTTAATTTTTTACTGTCATTCTAAGTGAATCAAAAGGAGTGGAAGAACTGCTAATTTATTTTATTATTACTACTACTACTACTACTACTACTACTACTACTACTACTATTATTGTTGTTGTTGTTGTTGTTGGTACTAGGGATTGAACTGGGGTCCTTGCACTAAATCCTGAGCTAAATCCCAGCCCTAGGTAAGACAAAAGGAGAAGGAAAACATACTGTTGATACCATGGCTTTACTTTTTCCGGTGTTTTCTTTTTCTTTCCAGATATCTTGAGATTCCTTCTTATTCCTTTTTATTGATATTTTTTATTAGTACATGTTTGCTGTACACGCTTACCTTTATTTTAGGGAGTAGGGACAAGTACTTATCTTAATTCATTTTATTCGCCATCTCCCCCCACACTGTCTCTAGATCCTCTTCCTCCATTGTCATTACTATTATTATTATTATTATTATTATTCAGTTTTTGTTTCCAGCATATAATGATTACATTCATTGTGGATAGTTGTTACATGTACCCAACACACTTTCAGTATTTTTTATGTCCTCTTCCCCTTTTGCCTACTACCCTCAGTCTCTTGGTCTCCTTCCTACTTGAAAAAACTTTATCTCCCTGTTTCGTTTTATCAATCTTTTATCTTTATTTATACTTTAGATTATTCAAATGAGAGAAACCATATGGTATTTAAGCTTGTGTATCTACTTTATTTCACTTAACAGTGTTTTCAAGGTGCAATAATTTTCCTACAAATGTCTGGAATTTATGTTTCTTTATAGCCTAGTTGTATTCCATTATTTATAGACAGGACATTTTCTTTATCCATTTATCTGTTGATGGACAGATATGCTGCTGTCAAGATTTAGCTATAATGAATTGTACTGCCATAAAAACTGTTATTGTATTATTGGCATGTATCAACTTTTGATAGTCATTTTTTTAGTCTTCATCCACTGATGACAAATGCTGTTAGTTTTCCTTCACTTGACAATGTCTTCATTCCACTTTTCATTCTTAAGTGATATCTTTGCTGCACACAGAATTCTGGGTTGATAGTTATTTCAGCACTTGAGATATATTGTAACATTTCCTTGTGGCCAACATAGTTTCTGGGGAGAATTATCTAAGTTGATTTTCCTCTATGGCCAAAGTGTCACTTCTCTTTTACTATTTCCAAGCATTTGTTGTCAGATGTCCTGCTATGAATTTTGGGGGTTTATTCTTTATTCATTTAATTCAGATTCTTAAATATACACATATATTTTTGTCAAGTTTTTGAGCTATCATTTCTTTGAATACCTTTACACCCTTTCTGCTTTCCTTCTGGGACTCCAATAATATAAATTTTTTAATTCTCATTATACATTCCAGAAGTATTTACTTTTAGTTTTTCTCGCTGTTGTGCAGATTAATGATTTCTAATGTACTATCTGCAAATTCAGATACATTTGTTCTCTCCATAGTGCTTCTGAGTTGCCCCACTGAAATGTCAATTTCATTATAATAGTTTTAGTTATAGCATTTCATTTACTTCTTTATATTTTAATTACCTTGCTAGAACTT